ATCGCTTCTGGAAATGCTAATAAAAATGTATTTGTTGGCAAGGTAGTTTAAACTTAGGTAGCCCTTGAAAAAACTAATGAGATTGATGGTAAAGTAGGGAACGTAAGTACTCATAATGGCCCTGAAAAGGGCCAGTGGTGAGACTTCCAGTTATCCCTTATTATTATTCTCGATGATGAAGAGCTAGCTGCGGGTAGCTTGACTCTTACCCTTAAAGTCTCTGTGTGCGCAGACCGTACAGGAGGGTGGTACTAAGCTGACCAAAGAATATCTCGTCTTCGGGTCATGCCCCGGATAACTAACCGTTCATCGTTAGTCAGGAAAGTGGGCGTGGAGAATACCTTCTCTGTAGGTGTGCTGTTGGAACGACCACTAAAAAAGAGGCCGTTGTGGCTGCCCGTACTCTTCAGGGTTATATTCCCTGGCTCACAATTGAAGTAAAAAATTTTCTCAGGCAAGGTAGTTTACACTTAGGTGGATCCTAAAAAGAACCGATGAAATTGATGGTTAAGTAGGGAACGCAAATACTTATAATGGCCCTAAAAAGCGCCAGTGGTGAATCTTCCAGGCTATTCTTTATTATTATTCCTGATGATGAAGAGCTGGCTACGGGTTGCTTGATTCTTACCCTGGGAGTCTCGATGTACGGAGACTGAGATGGGGGGAGGTACGCCGCTGACCAAAGAATATCTCGTCTTCGGGTCGTTCCCCGGATAACCAACCGCTCATTGTTAGACGAGACTATGTGGGTAAGCGCGTTGGGGACGCGACGACCAAGAAGGTAGCCGTTGTGGCTGCCCGTGCCCCTTAGAGCTGTTTTCCCTTGCTTACATTTGTAGCCACAAATTCTCTAACTGCACCAGGTGGGATGGTGGGACTCCCTCACAACTCTGATGAGTTGAACCAGATTGTGCTCTGGCTACATATGTCTCCTGGTATTGTGGCAGAGACGGCATCGGTTGGCCTTTTTTTTTTTATTTGATCGCACTCGTCGACATTCAGGGTGAATGGACACGTAGGTCCCTTTCCCCTTAGATAAGAGTGTCATCCGTAACCGGGATACCCAGCTGCAAGACTATTAACAGTATTCTCAATACAGCTGGTTGAGTTGCCGAGGCTCGTCTATAACACTGTGGAGACGCTCCAGCTTATTATAACCACACTTATTTAATTATGTTGCAGGTAGCTTCGATTTTATGTCGACGCCACCTAGCGGATTTTACTGAACTAAAGAGAAAAGCTGGCATATTTTTGCAAAACTTTGAGCTTATTTATTGCTATTGTTATTAAATTTTTTAAGATAAAAACTATGCTAAAACCATTTAGGAAGTATCATGAATCAGTGTGCAAAATTTCAACGAAATCGGTTCAGTAGTTTTCGCGGTTAGCGATTACAACGGTTTTAGCGCTCCTGCTTTATATATTAGTAAGAAAAACAATAAATTCTATATTAAAACAAGGATTTGAACAAAATATTGATGCTGATTCTTCGTTGTCCAAGTGATGAATATATAACTGATACAGATATATGTCGAAAAATCTTTTTCATCGATCTCTCGCCAAACGGTGAGAAACAACCACGGGCATGGTTGATATACTACGAGTGTCAGTGCAATATTTTGTGGTCCGTGCAATTTTTTTGGAAAAACAACCACTGACTACAGGTTTTAGTAATTGGAGTAATGTTTACCATAGAATAAAAGAACTCGAAGAATCGTCTACACATAAATCAAATCCAATTACTTGTACTCACAGATCTAAAATTGCTCAAAATATTGATGTCAACTTAGAAAAACAAGTAAATCATGAAGTTAAGTCCTAAAAAAGCGTTTTAAATGTTTAGCTGTAGTAATTAAATCTTTTTTATCCCGTAGATAGGCATTTGGGGAAGTAATTAACATTTTGGTTCTCTTCACAATGGAAAATTTCTGATGCTGTTGGAGCTTAAACATAAAAGATTGCAGAGGACAATCATATGATGATGCTAGGAACATAAGTGGCCGCTACGCAAGATTTAGGCACTCGAAAAACAAAGAAATTCCCTGGCTGAGTACATTTTGTGTTCAGCGTGCTTACTCAATCTTGTGGGTAATTATGCTGCTGAATCCTGCCCAACGGTTGAAAATTTCTTTTCTAATTTAAAACAAGTGCATAATTTTTTTGCTGATTCAACATGCATATAGGAAATTCTAGTCAGCATTAAAATCGAATCGTTCTATAATAAACCTTTCTCAAACAAGGTGGTCGGCTGGACACGATGCTTGCAAAAGTTTAAGCGAATTATTACTAAAAGTTATAGCTCTTTGAAAAAATTTTTCTGAAGATGAAAATGGAAAACCACTGGTACGTTTAAAAACAGTAGAAATGTATGACTTTCATAATTCACTAGAAAGCTCTCTTATGTCAGTCTTTTGAAGTAACATATTTAATAAATTTAATTGTATAAATAAATCACTACAAAAGCCGTGAGTTGATTGGGTAAAAGTTATTGAATTATTTAAATCTCATAAGTTTTGTTTCGGGAATGCGTAATCTTACAATATTTGATTGATGTGAAGTTAAAGTGATTAAAAAAAGTGGATCCATCTCCTGCAAAGTTAATACCAGAAGAAAACGTGAGCGAAAATAGCAGCATGATAAAAAAAAAACTGAAGGTACGACATTTTTTGGAAAATGTAATATGAGAATCAATGTTTATTATGTTACTTTACACTCTTTAGTATCAAACCTGCAAAAAAGAAATGAAGTGTACGTTAAATTCAACAAAAATTTCAGTTTTTTGATGAGATTGCAGAGTTTATTCACAGTAGACATTGTGGAACAAGCAAACTCAGTAAATGAAATATATCCTTATTATTTAGATTATAACTTAGCAATTGAATGTCAATACTTAAGACCTTACTTGAAAACTACCTATATTAAACAATTGAATTGGATTTGTGTGGATTCGTGTGTGAAAATGATATTACAAGTATTTATTCAAATATCTATATTGCGCTATGTATATTTTTATGTGTATTGATACCGAACATTTAAATAGATAAATCTTTTTTAGCTTTAAAACGCGTAAAAAACTTTTACGATCATCACTAGGAGATGAAGGGTTAAATTCATTAGCACTTTTACGTATTGAAGGAAAGATAAGTGAAGAAATTGAGTTACTAATCGATAACTTTCCTCAAAAAAGTCAGAAAAGTACTAGTATGAATGTATTTTTTAAAATTAAACTGATAACTATGTTGTAGTAGTTTGTAGGAAATACAAATTAATTATTTGTCACGGGCTAAACGAAGTTAGAAATGAAAAAGTATTACCTAAATTTAAGTGTATACTAAATTTTGTGTTAAAATTTAAGTAACATAATAACGATTGATCTTAATAAACAGCTCATTGAAGTCAAACATCAACTTGCATTGTTTGTAATTTTCTGTTTTAATTCTTTCAGTTCTTATCACATTACATGGTAGTTAGAAAATCAGCTCCGGATTCGACTCTTTACAATTGACGATAATTATTTTGAACTTACGAACTAATTAAAAAATTTTATAAGAGGGCCGGAAAACAATTAACAATATGCGTCGCTTTTATACATAATTGATGCTTTATTTCAAATAGTTATAATAGTCTCGCGTTATTTGCTAGATACCCCACAACCTACAATAAGTTGCGATGGAGATAAGGTTTTTTTTCTGATTGGTCTGTTGCTTACTATTTCCAAAGTACGTTTATAAAAGGTTTTTCTATCATACGTAACATTATCATAAATACTAGAGATATTAAGTTTATTCACATGCTTTTTTGTAAAATTCAAACGGGGTTGGCTCGTGAAGTGCGGAGAGTATGTATACATTATTAAAAAAGTAGAAGATACGCTGGTATATCAAATGCTTGTTACAATTTGTTTGAGCGATAAGCTTAGTATTTTCTCCTATCAACTTTAAAAATGACATATATACTATTAAGTAAATACTATTTTACTTTAAGTTTGAGGTTTTTTTTCAACAATGACCTTATAACCTAGTGAATAAACAGCATGTTCAAGCATTGGTATCGATATACATTTTTGACTCAGTACTTGAACTTTGACTTATAACCAAATAATGCATCTCTAATTAGACCAAATTCCAATAATATTTAATATTATGTTTATTACATACTTAAACTATATTAACTTGACTCTTCAAAGTATTTTTATGAATTTGTTAACAATATTTTTATTTTTAATCGAATTTACGTGTACTTCAAGTTAAAATAATTTTTCATGAAGTGCATGGTTACGAAATGTAACAAATTCTATTTTTCTTATGAAAATCAGACTAAATTTCATAAATAATAGTACATTCAAGCTTATTGCTTCAATAATCATTGAATGAAGGAATGATTATTTATTGCTTCAATGATTATTGAAGCAATTGATCAATAAATGATAGTATATCCAAGCTTAATGCTTCAATAATCATTGCATTTGAGTCTAAATAATGTAATTATTTTGCTTACAATAGTTAGCAATGCAGACGAATCTAAGGCCAAGTTTTACTTCGTTAATAGTTGTTATTAGTGCACTTAATAGCAATGATAAAACTTTTCTCATGCATGTTTTAGTCAGATCTCCACTGAACATTAATGCAACTATACACATAATCTGGTTCTTCTTGTATTATAATTTATTATAATTAAAAGTAATTATAACTTTACACACTCACTTCGTCTATTCACAAATACGAATGCGTTTATGGGAGAATTACAGAAATAAATAAGTGGTAAATCTATAGTAGAAGGTATTCTAGTTTATTATTTCTTACCATAATCTACTAAATACTTGAGAACTTGATACTTTAATACGAATACTATTTTTTTATGCTTCTTTTTAATACGGCTCATGATATGTAAGTTGTAAACCATAGTTAGATATTTTGTATTAAATGGTTTTTGATAACTAGTTTTTTATTCGTTTCGATGTACATAAATTTTTTAAATAATGTGACGGAGTTTTTTTTCAGAAGTGGGTATGTTTCACAAGAGTCTACCGATGTGGAACCACTCATTACCTTTCCAGATCCAGATACACCATCACCACCTCCTACAAATAGTACAACGATTCTACCAGGAGTAACAACATCTCAAATAAGTCCTTTGAGTGCCATTGATACGTTTGAAAGTTTGGATCCTGCGTTAAACATAGTAGATTTTCACAACACATCAAGTCATCCTCTTAACGTTGAAAACATTAAGTTTCAACAAAAAAAGATTACAAGTGGCTCAAAAACCAAGGTATCATAATTGTAGTAATATGTTATTGACTGGTTTAAAAAAACTGTTTTTTTACTTGATATAAGTGTTGTTCATGCCAATCGTTAGCTTTTAATATCCTATCTTTATTTTGACTTTGTTTTTCTATAACTTTTGTTGTTATATAAAAATAATCTCTATACGTCTCCTAGTGCTGAACTTAATTTTCTTAAATCTTTTCTCTGTTTCTTCCCTGATTTTCTCATCACATACCCTTGTGATAAATTTTTCTTATCCCACCATACATCTGTACAATTTAAAGTTTTTTTTTTAATTCTAAAAATTTCTAATACCTGTTTGAAAGATCTTATTAGTAATATACAATGAATAAATATAGTTGTAACGGCGCCGCCGATATGGGTTCGCGGGAGTTTTGGTAAAAAGAAGAGGTCATGATGGGGCAGAAATAGAACAGAGAGCTAGGAGACCAGCTTGGCATTCAAGCGAGCCGGGCGTGCGAGGAAAGTTAGGAATCGGTGAAAAGTGCGAAGAGATTAGGGGTCTGGATGGATGTGTTACCAGAAGCCCGAAGAGCAAGAATAAGCGTTGCTAATATTGCATATTAAGTATCCGTGTCAGCGCTACCAACCCAATCCGAAAAAATACTTGGCTGGTGGGGATGCCCAGCAGTTCTCACATCTCCAGGATGCGCTTTTCGACCTTGACTTCGCACTCTGTAGCCGTTGGGAAATAATGTAAGTCCGCTCCTGATTGATTGTGCGAAGTTTTTGTATTAGCTCGTGAGGTCTGCCCGCTGCTTAGGATGCGGAAGTTGTATGCCGATTATAGTTATAAATACATGGGAGACAGCTGTCTCACCACCGAGGTTTATTATAACACACTTGATTGTTGATTACACACACACACACACACACACACACACACACACACACACACACACACACACACACACACAGAGAGAGAGAGAGAGAGAGAGAGAGAGAGTTAGTTATTGTTCAATCAATACTTTTGATTGAATATACCGTTCTTTTATTATTCATGGTATTGAGAATCTGCCATTATTAATGGACGTATATGTATGTGTGTCGAATTAGATAGTCCCATGGTCCCGGTCCTATACCTGTCATTTAATATCTAGCTACTTCACGTATCAGGGACATACGGGACATTCTTGAGTTATAAGCCAGCGGAGCACCCAGCACCCGTGCTTGACTACAGTGATATAAGGTATGGTTTGCAGGTCGTTTGATCTGTATAGTATACATGGAGTGCTGTTGAAGATTCCTGGGCTTGACAAGCCTGGTCGGAGTTACATAAAGCAGGACACAAGGACATGTCCTGTTCTCTGCGTCAGCTTGCTCCGTGTACCCCACAACATAGTATGTAGTATTGTTAGAGGATCGAATTATATGCCCTCCTCAGTGCCCTCATAATTTCTAAATTCCATCTCCAGCGTTGGCCACGATGGTCGAAAGTTTGTTGCCAACCGCAACCTTTAGAGCACTTATCTATCAGCACCGTTGCCGGCCAAGCTGTGCACTATCGCTAATATAAACATAGTATGTATGATGCGAGTAATTAAACTTATCGACTTTCCCATCCAGTTCGAGATTGCCAAAGCAACTCGATTTTTTCAGTTAAAATTACAGATTTCTAGAAAAATTGTCATACGTAGCAATTGAAAAAAAGTACCACCTCAACGAGGATTTGAACCTGGAACTCTTTTCTTGTCGGAAAAGTCCGTTATCAATTTTGCCATCGAGGTCTCGGCGACTCCTCTCCTCAATTGCTACATTTTATAGTTTTTTCGCGATTTTTCTTTCAACGCCTGCTCATATGTTACATAAGAAAATTAGAAAATAATTTAGTTTTATCGATGGGTAAGTATTAATGCTCGTAATTGAACTTATTGACTTTCCTTTAAATGTTAAAATGTTGTTTTAACTGAAAAAATCGAGTTGCCTTGGCAATCTCGAACTGGATGAGAAAATCGATAAGTTCAATTACTCGCATTAATACTTATCCATCGATAAAATTAGATTAATTTTTAATATTCTTATGAACCACATAGGATGTATATATAGAAACTCCTATCACCCGATGACCCGGGGCCTGGGGCGTTTACTGGCCACTTTAATAAATAATAAAATCCTTAATAAGACAAGCGCCTATCATCCAATGACTCGGGGCACTTACTATCCACTCTATTGATCAATAGGTCGGTAATTAATAATACAAGCGTTTATTACTGGATTATCCAGTGCGCTTACTGGCTACTTTATTAATGATTAAATGTTAATTAATAACACAAGTTTCTATCAGTCGATTAACCCGGGATGTTTTGAACCACTGTAATAAATAATAAAATCCTCAATAATAACCCAAGTGCCAATCACCCGATGATCTTGGGTATTTACTGGCTGCACTATTAAATAATAGATTATGACCTAATATTACGAGCGCCTATTAATGAAAGTCCTTGTCAAATTTCACAATTAATTAAAATACTAAATTGCGGACATCGCAAACCTATAAAATAGTACACTTTGGACGCTACATTGTCGTGTAACTGTACAAAGAAAAAGCGTTTTAATGTAGATAATTATCCTTATGTTATTAAGGCCTATTAATAAATGAATCATACATTTCGGAATCTTTTTAAAACTTCTTTATCGTTGATACACTTTGCATCATGACTCTTTACGTTTCTAATAAATAATGTTATGAATACATAATTAACTATCGCCCTCACTAATGTCTCTCTATATACCAAAGCAATAAGAGCTTTCGTGTTCATTTATAGTTTTTTATTTATTAAAGTGAAACTTCTTATGGCACGTTGTGAATTTTTTCGAGCGATACAAAATTTCTGAGGCCCCTACCACTCCAGCCGCTCTCTCTCTCTCTCTCTCTCTCTCTCTCTCTCTCTCTCTCTCTCTCTGCCTCGTCCCCCTTGCCACCAGAGCAGTGCATATACTCGTAGAGTGGGACGTGGGACGGCCTTTCTCTCTGCCTCGCTCCCCTTGCTACTACATGCTCAAATTTTTACGTGTATATATACATATATATATATATATATATATATATATATATATATGTATATATGTATGTGTGTGAGGGGTGTGTGTGTGTGTAATAAGGTATTATTTGTTATTAAATAACCTCAAATTCGTATTTAAGTTGTACTTTTCTGACATATGAGTTATAAATTGCGAAAAAATTATAGCATACCTTGAAAATTAATAGAGATGTCCACAAATTAATTTAAAGTGTTTTTACAACAATATAACCTCATAAAATAAGAAAAATCGTCATATCTCGACGGAGAAGCAAAATAAGCAAAAAATACCGATTTTTTACGGGTATCCTAAAGATGAAATAAAATATCGAGACGAACAAATAGAGGTGTCATTTCTTGTGATTATATAACCTCAAATACGTATTTTCGCTCTATCTTTATGAAATTGGAGTTATAAATTGAGAATAAATTACAGTATACTTTAAACATTAATAATACAGATGTGCACAAAGAAATTTAAAGTGTTTTCCTGACAACATAACCTCATAAAATAAGAAAAATCGTCATATCTTGACGGAGAAGCAGAATAGGCCAAAAATACCAATTCCTTACGGTCACCTAAAGGGGAAATAAAATATTGAGACGCACACATTGAGTTGTCATTTGTTATGATTACATAACCTCAAATTCGTATTTGTGGTCTATCTTTATGAAATTGTAGGTCCATATTAACTCGTAGCAATAACATATATGATTGCTTCTCATATAGTTTTCTGTATAAAATGAGTTAAATATTTGATACTTGAAGTTTCACTTCTATCGTGGGTCCCACTTACTTAATTAATGTCAGCAGTATAGATGTATGGGTATGGTCTCGGGAAATAAAAAGTTTGGCACTGTCACTTTCAATACGAATACGTTTATTTCACGCTATCTTGAGTATATACTATCTTTAGTCTTTACAATCTTAAATTCAATCGTAAGCTGAACTAAAAAAGCAAGATCAAACAGAGGTTACATTAAGCAGAGAGTGCGTGTAAACAGACTGACTGACCGAACGAGGATGGATAAAAAGACAATCAAACAATGCAACAGTAGCGTCGCAGCTCAACTGCTTGCTTTTGCGTATGAACAGTAAATTTAGTTACGAGTGCCAAATATAAATCTCACAATTAAATACCCTTCTAGAATTGGTTTTTTTTTTTTCAATTTTAAATACAGATGCAGGGCACCAGGTAATAGGCTTTTGTGTTATTAATTAACATTTTTTAACTAATAGTCTAGCCAGTAAGCGCCCCGAGTCATCAGGAGATAGGCGCTTGTATTATTTATTAACAAGCTATTAATTAATATAGTTGCCAGTAAGCACCTCGGTTATTGGGTGATAGGCGCTTGCGTTATTATTAAGAATTTCATTACTAATTGGAGTGGCTAGCTAGCACTTCGGGTCATCGGGTGATTCATGCTTGTGTTTTGAATTAACAACCTATTAAACAATAGAGTGGCCAGTAAGCGCTCTAGGTCACTGGGTGATAAGCACTTGTTTTATTAATTAACAATCTATTAATCAGTAGAGTATCCAGTAAGGGCCCCGGATCATTGAGGCACTCGTGTTATCATTAAGGATTTTGTTATTTATTTGAGTGGCTGGTCAGCGCCCCGGATCATTGGTTGATCGGCGCTGGTGTTATTATTAAGGATTTTATTATTGATCATAGTGGCCAGTAAATGCTCCAGGTCATGAAGTGATAGGCGGTTCTGTTATTAATTAACAACCTATTGATCAATTCAGTGTTCAGTAAGTGCCCTGGATCACTGGGTGACAAGCACTTGAGTTATTAAATAACATTTTAATAATTAATGCAGTGGCCAGTAAGCACCCCGGGTCATTGGGTGATAGCTACTTGTGTTATTATTTAAGATTGTATTATTTATTACAGTGGCCAGTAAGCATCTTGGGTCATCGGGTAATAGACGCTTGTATACATAAATCATATGTACAGTTTGGCTG